CCAGAGTAAAATAGTAGCTTTATGCTGCTATGTTTCGTATGGTGAGTGTAGAGAACCGGAGCCCCTTTTTACTGGAAACGAGGCATTCCATCTTAGTCCTCACGGGTGACAACGCATCCGCATTTTGATTCGTAATCGAGGATAGATGTAGATGTCTATGGGCCACAGCAACCACTTACCATCAGGTGGACTGTGTGCTCGTTTGTCACCCTATCCTATAAAAAATTTACAATAGAAATAATTTGGAGAAAGTAACTAAAAACATAAAATCTCAGTGGCAAGCGTGGTAACTAAGGCAAAATCCCTCCATACGCCTGCGATTAGCAGTGGACTTATGATAAGCTGTGACTATGATGTAGTCCAGACACTAACTCATGGACCGTACCTCAATCATACCTTTCGGAGTCATGTAAACTTAATTTAAAATATGTTCTATTTCGAACTCGAATATTGCACTTCTTATGTACAATTTCGACAGGTAAATGAGGCACGTATTCGTCAAATAAATCTTAAAAACTCATGTCCGAAAAGTTTTAGGATATCGGTCATAAAAAAATAAACATTACTCTCTTAACTGATCGCAGATGCGTCGTGTTTACATGTCACGTAAAAATGTTCACGAAAAACGGACCAAAGAAAAGTAAATTCGACTAGGAAATAACTACATTTGGAGTACTCGTAACACATGTTAGGGAGACATATTCCTAGGTGGTGGAGATCATATAATTAATAACATTAAAGGCCTTATTCATAAAACCTCGTTCATCAACATCTTAAACATTACTTATCTAATCAACTAATTAGGCCTTAAACATTATTTAAAATTTTGTTATTCATAAACGATACTTTGACATTGTTTAGTTAAACATGACTTATTTTTTTACTAGTGGTAATGTTTTGGTAGAATTGGTAGGAACTTGACTGTATGCGTAGTATGTTTTTGCCATAAGCCAAATTTAAAAGTAAAGTTGTCACATTAACTTTGCTGTTTGCTATGGAGTGTAGAAGTAAGGAGTACCAACTACCATAGTAGAATAGTTGAAAAAGTGGTCATCTGTAAGCAGTAAATAACGGTTTAAAAACTCTCCACAACAGCGCTGGAGTAGCTACTGGGATGAAATGAACTCAGCAGTTATCGACGGTTTAAGTGTGCTACTAAACTGCTCAGTAGCTCTAAAATCTAAAATAATTTTATTTAGTAAATATAACCTCGAAAAAGTCGTCTATCCCACTAATATTTTTTGGTGCGTTCTTTAAAATTTAGCCCGTAGCTATAGTGGCGCCACCCTTATTTAACGACTTTCTATGGACATTTTTAATACACAGTCTGTACTCCTTACTTCTACACTCCATACTGTTTGCTTTGAACTTTGGAGATTTGAAGTAACTGTGAATTTTGAGGAAGAAATATTACAAAATGGAAAATAAAATTAATTATAAGAGGAGCCGCTCCTCTAACTGGAGAGTTAGTAATCAGTAAATATTAATGTCGTATTCATTTCACTGTAATATCTATTGTACCTTTTGCATTCCTTGCTTACACAATTAATAAAAGAAAAAATACATATTATTGAAAACAAGGGTGTAAGTAAAAACAACAATCATTTAAAAAAAGGCAGCGTGGCAAGAGATTCTCCAAAGGTATGTCCGAACATTTAAATAAGTTATAAAAGTCGTGTACTGTAATCTTAACCCAAGAATACAACTGCAAGATTTCAAAATACTATCAGCCCTATTAAGGGGAAATATAATGTCAAATGGCTTAGCAAGATCCTTCGTTATGCCGAAAATATTGCAGCATTAATTTTGAAATTAATATATGGTAAAGTTGAGGATTAATGTTAAGGATTATGTTAGACAAAAACACGATTTCGTAAAATTTTCTGGATAGAAAAAAAATCCAAAGTTACCTCCAAAATAAACAATAAACCGCTGCTATTCATAAAATACTTTAAATAAGATCATGAAACTTTGCATACTAACTGGACTAACTATAAAGCAGTGGTTATGTTATTTACTTTTTTTAAAATACCATTATTTTCACTGTAAAAAGAAATTACCTAAAATATCGGCGCGTAAGCTTGATTTCTGTCGCCCCGTTAGTATCGCTCCGGCTTTTAAAGGGAGAAGTTGTGTCGCTTGCGATCAGAATACACATTACGCAACAGGACGACGTAAAATTAAAATGGGAAATAACCGTTATAAAAATAAGAAGTGACTGGGTTGGCGTTAAGAAACAGGCATAAATATGATAAACCTAATGAAATAAGTATCTAACGACCTATCTACTTAGAGTATTAGTGATTACAAACATGTCGGTACATAGCATACGACGCGCGGGGAAGTGGGGGCGAAATTAGAATTTGAGCTGACTTACTCTATCCTCTTAATAAACACAGACTTGATCCAGATTAACTTTACTCCTAGTTTAAAGCTTAAAATATCCAATTTATTTATTAATAAACACACAGTAAGGAGGGAGTAAACTAATCCGAATCTACTCTCGGAATAAAAGTTAATCCTTGGCAGTACCTAGTTTAACGACTGAGTAAGCATAGACTAGTCGCGTATTTTGACATTTTGTAAAACTTTACGCTGTTGAGTTTATAAGTTGTAAGCACTAGTAACAAAACCAGCATAATGGATTAAAATGCCAAGAAGTGATGTGGAGCAGAACAAAGTGATTGCAGGTTTTTATTCATTATATGGATTTAGACAAGTGATTGGGGTTATTGATTGCCACATATTCTAATCTTGAAAGTCACTGGAAACATCGGACAATACTACATAAACAGGAAAGAATACAGTTCAATAAATGTACAAGTAAGTTTTATAGCACCTAGCTAGCCCGTCTTTGCCATATACGTACTTAGTTATTTTCTTAAATTCAATACAATCACCTCAATCTATTATTTCATATTAAAGAAGTTATGAGTGCTTTGTTCCAAGTTGTGTCAAATGCAAATTTAGAGTTCATGAATACAGTGGCACATTGGTAAGGCAGCACACATGACTCAAGAATATTTAATGAAAGTCGCATTAAAACAAACTTTTGAGCAGAATTTAAAGGCAGACTTCTCGGAGTTTCTGGTTATGCTTGCACTCCTTATTTATTCACTCCTATCTTTCGTCCTAATAAACAAAAGGAAGGAATGTACAACCAGTCGCACATCTGGGCCCGTAACACTGTAGAACAATGCTTTGGAAGGAAGCAAAGGTTTCGATGTTTACTGCGAAGACTAAATACTAAACAAGAGGATACAAAACTATATACATTGCAATGCAAAAGCAAGATCTGCTTGAGGATGTAGTATAAGGAGATGATGAAAATGTACCAGTCACACAATTAGTAAATAACTCCGTTAGAGGAAATTCTGTTCGGGCAGCATTTATTAACGATTTTAAAAAAAATATACAAAAATTACATGTACAAAAGATTTTATTTATCCAAAAAAAAAAACAAAAATGGTTATTTAAATAATTTTGCCCTTCACGCTCTTTTCTTAATTCTAAAATTTCGTTACAAATAATATTAAAAATGATTATATTTAGAACTTAGTTTTTCCACCGAGTCCGAAAACAACACGAGGAACAAGGAACAACACGTAACACTTATCTCTTGTCAAACTCAAAATATTGCCTGTCACTATCATTAATGTCATGATCAAGCATTGAGTTCAATCACTCATCATTCACTGACTCACTCTTTTTATTTTTAAAAGTAAGTGGGTTGCCATAGCGCAAGCGTTAATCCCGGCGTAAGGAATGTATAGTTAGTCCGAGGTTACTCCATGTTTATTAATAACATTGTAATATCGAAGTAAATAGTCAGTTACTCTGAGATTAGCTAGTCTAAGTGTAACTTAGAATTAAGCTTGGAATAAGCAATTTTTATTAATAAGACAGTATAAGTTTATATTGATTAGATCGGAACAAAAATTAATAATTTTAATCTGGCAGTAGCCGTGGTTAACTATGACATTGGAACGTCGAACTATTAAGTGCCGTAACGTACATTGACAATATTTTAGATAGAATATCATTAAATAGAATTAAAAAGATGTTTGATTCAGTGTAGAATATTTAGTAATTTAAAAAAATTGAAGTAATGTTGAAACTCCGTCCATTAATTAAGTCATCGTGGGTGACATGAGAACCAGATGACAACGCAGTGTTGGTGCCTGAGGTGGCCATTTCATCGTTGCTGTCGTCACTTGAGCTTTCATCCTCATTCAAGTTATAATCATCATCCCTACGCGAATAATAAATGTTTCTGTCTTCACGACAACCACATGGTCGCTTTTACTATAATCGACCTCTATTTCCTTTACCTTGGTGCATGATTTATCCCTTTCTGTTGCTCCCATTAAATTTACTTTTTCATTAACCAGGTCGGTTATCCGTGTAAGGTAACAACTTACATTTTTCCTGACTACATATCCCTATATTTGGGACCATAAAATTTCTATAGGAATTAGGTCCGGGTAATATGGAGGCAAACGAAATACAGAATGGCCCGCTTCGTTTAATATGGCATCGATATCAAATTGATTAATTTTCTCTTTGTATTTTGTGTTAAGTTGTACAACTTCGGTTTTAGCATGGTGTCTTCAAATTTTCTTTGTTTTGGAAGTTGGTGCAGCATTGATTTTTTTGTTGTGGTACGATGCATTGTCGACTACCACGACTGAATTAGGTGGTTAATTCGGCATCAGTTTAGTATGGAGCTATCACTCGGTATTCTCCAAATTCATGTTATCGTAGTAGTCGCCGCTTTTTGTACTGATTTTCAGCGTCAACAAAGCATTGGATACAAAACCTGCTTCACCATCCGCGTGCACCATAACCAAGCGGCTACCTATAGATAGAAGTTTTTTAATGCCTTTAGTGGGACCGTCTGTCCAAAAATGGTGAGACGCATACGAACTATCGACGTATGATTTATCAGTGTAAATGATAGGTCATCCTTCCTCTCTATATTTTTTATCTTTCTCGGATATTCAATTCTTTGAACTCCTGCAAGCTGCAGATATGTCTTCAGTTTGTTCTTGCCGATGGAAAGCACTCTGACGAAAAGATTGTGCCCCTCCGCGGGCATCCGCCAGCACCAGCAGCAGCGCACCAATGAGGGCCAGGTTACATAGCAAGAACTGCATGTCCCACAGTATGCTGTACGCGAATGTCTGAAATTTGGTTCATAAAACGAAATAAATAATATGATAACAATACAATTAACAGGTGTTACATATAATATATATATATATATATATATATGCAAACTGTCATTATGTACACCTGTCATAATAGGAATAGTAAAGAATCGAACCTGCGTCCCGCAGCCTCGTAGCAAAACGCATTAGCCGAGTTGTGTATACTCGTATGATAAGATTTTAAAAATTGCTTTACTGCCATTTATGGCCAGACATTTGACTATTTTTTGACCTTAGAGCAAGTACAATATCGGTTTTGACACATGCTAAATGATTTGCAGGGAGAATATCGTCGCCATTTATCACCTTCATCTGTGTTTAACATTATAAATCAAAACTACAAATATGCTCGTTTGCGAAATTGAGTTATAAAAAAATTGTGGTCGAGGGTTTTTCTTTCTATTTTTAATTATTTTACTCTTAAGTTTTACTAAGTAGGTTTTACTAGGTAGTTCCGCCTTATGGCAGTCCCCCCTCGGGAAAGGATAACTTTTCTGATACTCTTCTCTCACCGCAGCCTCAACACCACCGCATCAACGGTGCGGCGCCTTCAGAGTCAAAATCTCAAATGAAGGGAGGCTGTAATTTTTTTAAGTTGCCTACTAGAACGCTGCGATAGACATTTCTCGCATACATGATAATGAAAAATATTGCTTTAGCTTGTGGTAATTATGGCAAGAATATTATTGCCCTTTTATTCCTTTTCTTATTTCTTTAAATTATAGCCAGGTAACTAGGATTCGTTATACCTGGGTGACAACGTTACACGCAATGCTATCCAGGCGTACCTGACGATGTTTGTTTCATCAACATTACGTTGCATAATAAACATAGAGGCAACTAACCTGTGGAATACGTAATGAAGGAGCAGACGTGACCTAGTCTGAAACCGCGTGAACCTGCATCCTAATACTCATTTATGGTATCGTTTACTTAATAATTATAACTTTTAACAAAAAGTAAACACCAACTTCGAATAGCTAAAAAATAGTTTATTTATTTGCTACCCTTGGGGTGTAAATATCTCACACATTTATCACTGCTGGCCAAATGAGGAAGCTCAACGTCGCTCAGCAAGCGATGGAGACGACTATGGTCGGACGTTCTTTGCGAGATACACTTGAGATAAGGATATTCACTGTAGAAACAGAATAACCGATATAACTCAAGGTATAAGTAAGCTAAAGTGGCTATGAGCAGGCCATATTTCTTAAAGAACGACCGATGGAATAAAGGTTTTTGAGTGGCAGCCTCAAATAAGTAGTTTAGGGCCTGTCACTAGATGGAGAGGTGACCCCGTAAGATATTTAGGAAGTCGATGAACGTCAGTGACTCAGGACTGTGCTTTGTGGTATTTGTTGGGGGAGGCCTATTTGTCATGGGATGAGAATGGTCGAAGTTGGGCGCACCAAATCTTATATTTTGTCTCAGATACACATACTCGTCAAGCCCTTTTAGCGTAGTGTTTTCAACAACTACTGGTATACGGGTATACATGGACTTTAGACATTATTTTTATTTTTTCCATGTTCAGCAGCGTTATTGTGAAGGTCTGCAATAATACTTAGCCAGGTCATAAGTTCTGTCAAAAACTTTTTATAAAATTAATGATACACTTTTTGATTATTATATAGAAATTATATATGAAATGAAAGGTAATTTAATTTAGAATATATTTTCATTTACATTATTCAAAATGCCCTTCCCTATTTTGAATACATGCCCTTAATTGACGCGGCCAATCATCAATCGCAGCACACACCACACTCATATCTATTTCTGACTCCTGAGGATTAAGACGAAACGCCTTATTTCCAGTAAAAAGGGTTTCCGGTTCCCTGCACTTACTCGTACCATACAAAACCCAGCAATATAAAGCTGATATGTTACGCTGATATTCTGTGAGAACATAATCCTTCCAGGTTCATCATCACCATCATCATTACAACCCATCACAAGTTCATTGCTTAATATAGACCTCCCCCAAGGAATGCCACAAAGCACGGTCCTGAGCCATTTGCATCCATCGACTGTCTGCTTCTCTTACCAGGTCATTCCTAGTTATTTCAATTGTCTCAATAGCTTGAAGCTGACCTAACATAACTTAATTTCGAAATATTGCTTTTTAAGTGGCAGGAAGTGCATTGCATCGCGTTTGTGTCATTTATTACTTTTTATGTTTCGCCGTACGCTCATGTTCTCTGAAAGTAATTCTCACTAATTGAAGTTAAAGCAAGGATGAAGCGAGGGTTAATTTCTACGATGCCGTCTTAATAAACGCTCCGAAATAAACGAAGTTAACTTTGGTAAAGCCATTCTCCTATAATATTATTACATACTAGCTTTGATCAGTGACTCCGTTCGAGTAGAACTTAAATTAAAAAAAAACCTGTAGATCTATTGGCAACTTCGTTCATTATCAAAAAATAAAATAAACACTATTATCCCGACATTTAAAATAAAAATAAGACCTATTAATTTTACGTAATAAAAGTCTAAATCATCCAAAATAATAACCATCCTTTGAAACTTAAAGTTTTGTTGTTAACGAGTATTGAAGCAAATACACGTTAAAACTTTAAGAGTTGGAAGATAATATACTTAGAATTATTATGTGACCTTAGACTATGCGTGTGTATTTAAACCTATGAAATATTTCGTTTAAAACTTATTTTTATACTGGATGACCTTGACAGTCTGAAAAAAATTTTGAATGAGATAAATTAATTACCTAATTAAAATCTATCAAAATTCAAATCACATCCACCCCAGCCTGTGACCCTGAGATCTTTTATTGCCGTTTGTAAACTAGGGTGGATATTATTTAATCAAAAGTTTTTGATTTTATTATTTTGTAAAATACCAGTGACATAAGCTTCTACTCCGTTCATATCTTTACACTCTATTTTTTTCCAGACGGAAAAGGTTATCCAGTAGATTCTATGTACTATTATATAATGGTTTATGAGATAATCATCAAAAAACTTTATTTTATATAACATTAACATACGCAACGAAGCGCGGCGGACAAATTAGTCACTCAAACTGACATCCAAATTAGTACAGGCATTGTGAAGATTTGTGTGCACAAACGACAATACAGACAAAAACTGTTTACAGTTTAATTGCATGTGTAGATAGAATTGAAGTAATGATGTTAAACAATTTAAGAAATATTATTATTATAATATATTTCCACATTATAAAAATAACTGAAATAACCCGGCTTTGAAAACACCTACTGAAATGTTACATAATATAGTGGTTGGTTCCATATAAATGATCGCAAAAAGCCTGCATAAGTACTGAAAAAATTAGACTCCATATCAACATAAATATTACATAGAAACAAGCAGCAATTTATTCGGTCACAATATGGTAAATAGTTTCAGATAATTCTGTATTTGTGAGTCAGGAGTCTGAGTACTCTTCTAGTTTATGGGCTTGGAGAATACCTACCGGGTTTATTTCGAGGAGAAAACAAACACTAAATTATATTATAAGCCCATTTTTGATAATAATTCGATATCTATGGCTGCTTGTTTTTGTAGAATAGTTATGTCTATAGTGGCTACTAACTCAGCACAGTACCCACGTAGTGAAATAAAGGTATAATATAGAGTCATTCATGTCAAGACGACGACGATATACGACTTTCAAAAATTATTTACACTCAAAATAACTATGCATCTTATATTCTGAATTTCTAGCCAGTATTTAAGAAAAAAAAGTTGGTTAAAGCTACAGCTTATATTCGTTCCACTGCTGGGCATGGCCTCCCTTCATTTCTGAGAGAGTTTTAGGGCAAGGAAGTGTCTTGCGTTAGCAAACTTCACATGTCTTCGAAATATCTATTTCTTATTTCTCAGACATGCAGGTTTCCTCACAATGTTTTCCTTCACCGCCGAGTACGTGGTAAATCAGCACTTAAAATTGCATTAAATAATTTAATTTGTGCCAGCTGGGATCTAACTGGGGTTACTAGTGTACTGCTACGGAGCCGTGGTTAGTGCTCGCAGTAAATTTCATATTTGAGAAAGTGGTCTCTAAACTGACTACATATAATTACAAGTTGTGGGGCACTCCATCTTAGCTCTCAGGGGTGACGGATCTAAAACCTTTTGCTGCAGCAATACGGTAGGTATATCAGGTGGACTTCAACGTTATGCAAAAAATGTTAATATTAATAATCCTTCTTACAATGTTATTACCTTTTAATTTATAACGCATAGAATTTTAATTATTTGCAAACTTTCATTGCAAACCCCATGTTTGCAATATTTAATCGCATGACTATGTAAATTAGTCATTTACACAGCGGCTCTACTCAGCTTGCACCTTGCAGACTGTATAGCGTGAGCTGAGGGGCATTCCTCACGTGAGGGAATATATTGCTTTGTGGGCGAGGAAATTGCGAATGCCACCTGCATGCAAGAACGTCCATTGTGTGGACGCTTTACTAATGTATTTTACGACTGTGTCGATTGGAATTTGGTCGAACTTACTTCAAATGAAGCGGGAAAAGGGCATTAATATAGTAATAATAATAATTTTATTTAACGACCATTTTACACACATGTAAAGATTAAAATATTATCACAAATAATACAGATTTTTAGTCATTTCGTCTTCTTCATAACAACAGCGCACAAGTCCACACTTGAACTTAAGAAACCTCGCCCAAGGAATGCCACAAAACACGGTTCTGAGCTAGCTTCATCCAAGGGTTAAAGCTCCGACTTCAGAATGTGAAAATGAAATTATTTTATTCCTTTTTGTTTCTGAAGTGGCTTTTACTTTTATTAAAAGCAATTTTTTCACCCTTTTTTGTTTGGACTAAACGATAACACAATCTTAACGTGTAAGTTACATGAAAACGTTGTCCTATTAAGTCATTTTCGGGCATGGAATTTTTCTTTTTAAGTTAAAAATAGATTTTTTAAGTTATTGCATAACAGAGTACCGAAACTCCTTAAGTTATTTAGTGAAATTTTATCCAATAAAAATTATTTCTTTTCCAAATAAATAATTTTTCTGAGATAAAATTTGACTACCTAATTTAAGCAAATATTTTAAACATAAATGTCTCAAGGGTAAATTTTAGTGTATTACTTAAATAAATAAATAAAATCTGGCCATGTGCGTGTTGGGCCACACACAATGTATAGTTAGGGTTCCGTAGTTGCTCGTCACAATACGTGGACTGTCTTGTTAATGAGCGTATTAAATTTGCAGTTTGACCGCTATAACGACTAAAAATGGGCCTAAGTAGGACAATGGTAACTGAAGGGCTTATGCTCCAATCAGGCTTATAAGGAATAGGTTTACAAAAAAGATTAATTCGATTTTGAAAATAATACAATCTACCTACATCAAATCATTCACATGCCAAGTCCGTACAAAGGTGGACATAGGACTATCTATCTATATATTCCCGGAAGTGCAACCCTAAGATATATATGACCCTAACAGAAGTTTCCGTAAACCATCACTGCCCTAAGGTCCTGCGCAAATGTAGACACTTTTTGTTACCAATATGGCACGCCATCGCAGGAAACCGTAGTTGCTGTGTCCTGTAGCGGTGATCGGACACAGTAGCCGGTTGCTACTTCTGGTAACCGGTACCAATCATTGCTTGTTTCCCGACAGTTTCACGATGGACGTCGATGAAGAAACATTGTTTTTGTTGGTAGTGTTGATTATAGTTCGACGTAGACGTTGTCGCCGTTAATATTTACAGGCAAAACCACTATGTTAATGCCAACCGTTTCGTCAGTTTTGGATACATCCTTTTCTTAGAAATCGAAATCAATTTATAAATATTAGTAAATTTGGGAAATATGAAACAAAATTCAAACGCCATTTTAGATTATCTATGAAATCTTTTGATGAGTTATTGCTTCTATTACATGATGATTTAAAAAACAAAACACGGTGATGAGAGATAGCATTCTACCATCAGAGCGACTTTATATCACCCTACGGTACGAGTAAGTTGTTGATTTTACTATACATAGATATAGATATAAGTTTTTGAATTTAATAATTTGAATAAATTGCGATTTTTTTATTTCAGATATTCATTCAATGAGTTATTGTGTAAGCCAATTGTATGTAAATCGATTTTTTTTTCATTTTTTCACATAAATTTGCTGCTACATATTTAACTATCTGTTGATATGGATAAGGCATTTGGCTAAGGCTATATTAAAATATTCATCAGATTTATATAAAGCACATAGTTACGTATCGGTGAATTTGGGATAAAAAAAGAAATGTTCGATTTCATCAATTAGTCTACAAAATTACCCCTCTGATTTTTTGATGATTACTACGATTAGGAATGATTGATTTTATTATACTCACTGACGGAAAAAATAATTAATCTGTTTCCCTTATTTATTTTAAATAAGAATAAAACAAGTCAAATAATGATTTATACAAAAAAGATAAATTTAAATCGTACTGAGTGTTGCGCTTGAGATGGTCTTGACTGTTGATGTATCAAAATAACCAAGGTCATTAAACATATTTTCTCTTACATCAGAATCTTGAGAGAAATGTGTATCTGCAGGAGAAGCAGCAGTGTTTTGAGAATGTGCGCTTGTAGTCGGACTGTTTGAGAAATATCTATATTTTTGTGAATATTAGTTGAGATTATTATTTGGCCGACTGTAATTGACATATTTTTTTTCAAAGTATTCATAATTTGTGACAGAAGATCCAATTTAAATTCATCTAAAATTTTCTTAAAATTTGGCAGCAGTAAATTTGAGAAATTTTCGTCATGGTCGTTTACCACTTCTTGCTTCTTTACAATGTTGTCTGAAATCTTTTTCAAAATATCATTCTTGTAGTTACTTCATGTTCTAAGGACTTTGAAGTGTCCATATGGGAACTTCTGCGGGACATTCTTTTGAGGATTCGTTTTCGGTCTAATATCACTCATCGATCCCAAAAACGACAACAGATTACAATATTGGTACTCTTTGTGAGCAGTATCAGCAGACCCACTTTTAAGATTTTTCTTATTTTTTTTCTCCCGGTTAAAACAGCTTCGCAAACCTTTCCAACGTTTTTGCAATTATACAACTGAAAAAA